CTGGACCAGCACCATGCCACACCACCTATCCACCTGGAGGCCCTGCTGGTGACCCCCCTCTGGACAACAGCTGCTGGACAAGGACCCCTTTCCAGCCTGGATAGGTAGCTATCACCCCCACCCCCTCCTCAACCAAGGATTTGGACTCTGTTTCTCTTCCCTACCTGAACTCCAGCCCTTCCACTGAGTCTCTTTCTCCTGCTGCCATTGTGAGTGCTTGTCTGTGTGTGTGTGCATGTGTGTGTGAACCAATAATTTCATGGGGCTGTGTAGTGTGTCTGTTTAATAAAACTGTTATTTGAACCCCTGAGTTGGGTTTTGCTTTACTACAGTTCCGGCCCTGCTCCAGTCTCTGCTCCTCACCCCTCTAACTTCTGTCTCATTTCTCCCTCTCCTGCTTCTAGCTCGCTACCACCTCCAACACCTGTCCTGAGCTCCTCTCTGTCTGCAACCCCCCCCAGCTTCTTTGCCACTGTCTTATACCCACTGCCTTTTCTCCTGATCTCTGCCACTGTTATTGCCTTGTCCCCACTGCCTTTTCCCCTGAGCTCCCAGGTTTTTGCCTCAGTTTCTTTCCTGGCTGTCTTCTCCTCGCCACCACTTATCTGCACCCCCCCAATATCTCAGCTGTCTGCCTCAGTCTACCTTAAGTAAACCCAAGCCTCAGTTCCTCAGCCAGCTTCTCTGTAGTCCACCGGTTCTGGCAACTTTCACTCCCTACACCTTAACTCTCTCTTACCTGAACCTTCCCCCCCATGTATCCCAGGTACCCCAAGCACACACATACACACTGTACCATCCAAGTTAGGAACTGACTTGTGTGTATGTGTAGGTGGGTTGTCTGTGGGAACTGGTGTGAGTATATATATGACACACATATGTGTGTATGTCTTTGTGTGCATGATATACGAATTAGTGATCTGTGTCTAAATTTTGGGGTGTATAGTGTATGTGCTTAAATTGGTGATAGGTATGCATGTGCCTGGGGTGGGGTGTGCGTGCACGCAATTGTGTCACACCTTCCTGTCCAACAGCGCAATGTTGAGATCCTGAGAGTTGGCCTGACCCCACAGGGCAACAAGGGGAAATATATGAGTGTTGTAACTTTACCTGGTCAAATACCACTGGCCAGTCTCAGAACTTGGACTAAACTTTTTAGAAGGACCTTACTGTTTCTGAGTACCAATGGTGACAAAAAAGAATGCCTCCAAATGGGGCACCCAAAATTGGCAGGCAGGCTTTTGTAACAATGAAAGATGTAGTACAAGGATTTTCAACCTGTGCTCCACCGACTCCCGGGGGTTCACAGACTATGTCTAAGAGATCTGCAAAAGATGACAATGATCAATCAAAAGTATATGGATACCCACACTCAAAATTCAAACGGGTCTGCACCTCCATTTGAATTTTTTTTAGAGGTCCACAGATGAAAAAAGTTGAAAACCACTGCTGTAGTATACAGCACAGAAATCCTTCTCTCATATCACCTGAAAATTTCTAATGGCTTTTTAAAAATCTAAGGGGCTTAATCTCAAAGAAAAGTCAAGCACATTATGGCAGAATCAAATCTGAGTAAAAAATAATAGCATTTGGAGGGCAGAGCAGTTCAGATGGCTTGTCAGCAACTTGTACTTGACTTCTAAGGCAATAGCATAAGTATCTGAAGAGTGTCAAGTAGGAAACTGTCACTGATGAAAGATTCTCTAAATGTTGCAATGACTAAATGACCCACCATACCAAGGAATGAAGATGACTAAAAGAATCAAACTCCATCACTCATTGTAAGAAATTAGTGGACAAGATAGTTGAAGTTTGCAAGAAGCTCCATTAAAACATGGAAATAGCATGTTTCAGCACATCAGTGACAAGCATAGCTGTGGTTTTGTAGGGTGAGGCCCAAGTTTAAGAATTATTTTACTATTATAAAATACTGACCTCCAATTAAATAAATTATTCCTTTATTCTTCTGTTTTTCTATCATATTTAAACCTGCATTATCAATGTGCAACACATTTGAAAGTAGGCAGAAGGTGCTAATTAGGAAGAGTTGATCTTCCCCAAAGAACTGGCAATTAGACAACTTGCTAAGCCTTCTGCTGTGCTAAACCAGCGCCTATCCAGGGTTTCACAGGAGGGACAGATGGTAAGTTTTTATGTGCAAAAATTAAACAGTTACCATTTAACCCAAAGAAAAAGATCTGACTACTGTAGCATCTGATTCCAGTAGGATCAGAACATGGTATGGGTCTAGGCAGTAGAGAGACACAAACCCAGCCACTGACACATGTCTGATATTCCATCTATTCACTTCCTCCAGTTTAATGGTACTCATTTTTGAACACTGAGACCTCGCTAAGGAAAAGGGAATGCACCTGGAAAGTGGCTTTTGGTTGTTTTAGCTTTTCAGAATCTTTCCTTCCTTTACGTCAGTCATATCTGATATTGTTCCTTCCTAGCTTGTTGGTGGCAACATGGCACCGTGGAACTTTTTTAAAAGGTCTACTAGTATAATTCAGACTGGCTTTCTCTAGTATATCTTTATTACATGCTTCTTGTAGGGCAGATACACAACTGCATACAAGTACCACTGTCCATTGATAAAACCTGGACAACAAACTCTACAACCGGCAAAATATAGGACAAATGGTCAATGCAAGCCAGGGGACTTCAGTGGGGGAAGACATCCCAGGTGTGCACAGATTTAAATAAGAGAGGCTATTGACAGCTCAGGAATATGTTTTCCCCCCTTCTCTCTGCCCAAGTCTTCTGTCCTTGCATCAGTGTGGAAGCTGGAAGTTATTGTCTGGGAGGTAATATGAGGGATTCCACTTCAGGCTTGAGACAAAACCATTGGGCAACACACACAGTGCATTTTACATGTTTCTGTTAATTTCTTTTAGGAATAATAAACTTCTCTTAAAATTTGAAGGCATCATTAAGGTCTGATAACCAGTGAGTACTGAAGAATATCCACATGAAGATTTCAATGCCTACCATGTTTAAATATTAAACATTTAGTGTAGAGCAGTTGTTCTCAGCCTTTTTGGAATCCAGGCACACCTGCATACCTTTTCTATATTTAGTGGCACCCCATTTCAAAAACTATTTTCACTTGCTTTTTGACCATGGAAAAAATAGAGCAATTTTTCCATAGCAAGGAGCTTAGACCACAACAGGTCAGCATGGGTTTGGCACTATGGACTCCTATTTTAAATCTCTGGGTATATCTTGTGAATCATGTTTAGATGTTTACACACCCAAGTGTAATAGTGCATAGCACCATATGGCACATTTACCTGGATTTTGTGATACCCTGGTTGAGAATTAGTGACCAAGAAATCCCCCTCCTGTCTCCTGAATTTATTAAACTCACCTCTATATTTCAAATAAGCTCTTTTTAACAGTATTTAACCCAACTTTTTTATAAAGGAGAGAATGAGGACATTAACACATTATGGCTTTACATACTATGTGGTTCAATTTTATATGTACAATTCCTCTGTGTATGTTGTGCTTTATATTTAAAAGTAATGCATTTCTTATTGAAAACAACCCCCTATGTCGTCTTGTAAACTAGGGAACACTAAGACAGAAAAGACTATTAAGGGCATCTAATATAAGCTTGAGTCAGGACAAAATTGTTTTCTAAAATATACTTTTTAGTATTTCCAGTAGATTTTCTCAATACTATTTTAAGCCTTATACACTGAGGCCTCTACAGTGCCTCATGAAGCATGCTTACTATATGGTATGAAAATGCAAGTGTCTCATGTAATTAACAACTATTTATAGTCATATTTCAGTGTCTGATGTCTTGCTTCCAGCCAGAGTAAACGTCAGACAAATTCTTCTCAGACACGACCTTTTAATTGCAACTTTAAAATAAAGTTCTGAAAGATTTTACAAAGATATATTCATCAGTTTAGAAATGTTAACAATGAAGGGCTCCTGTCTGCTGACATTTTTCAGAATATGAATAAGAATATCAGCTTTAAGCACCATGAGATCATTGTCCATGATGCAGCAGGTCTAAAGAACTTTTGGGAAAACATCATTGAAAAGCATACAAAGCAACGAGAAGGTGAAGAGACAAGATTAAACAGGAGTGCCTTAAACAAGTGAGTTGTACTGTTTGTTCTCTACAGCAGTGCAGTCATGTTACCACGTACTTAATACTAAGGTAGCTGCTTTATTCATAGCATACAAGTTTCCTTCTGGATCTTTGGCACTTCTCCTCTCGCAGCTGTTTGTCTCATATTTCCATGGCTGTCCTATATGGAAAAATAAAACACCCTCCACCCCTCCGTTTTCTTTCCCCAGTCCTTAAATCTACATTGTCTTCATCATCTTCCTCTCCTCTGTTGTCCTTGTTACTCACCCCTGCTTTGTCAGAGTCTTGTCTGGGGGGGGTCTTGTCCCTGAACAGTGTGCCAACAAGAGATCTAACTTTAAGCTCTTGCTCTATCTTCTTCACACTGTTTCCTGTATGGAAAAAGAGTTGACTATCTACCATGCTGCTGACTATTCTGCAGTGACTAGAAATTCCACCCTGAAACAGAGACCTTTTCCAACAAATGTTTAATCAAAACTTGAATGATCCCATAAAAACTTTCAGTTTTGACAAAGACTCCTTTTTCGAAATGTTCCCAGCCAGCTCTGCCCACAATGCATCAGTGGGCAGGCACTATTCCCATGTTAAATGTGGAGATCAAGGCAGAAGGAGGTGATAATTTATTCAAGGCTCCGTCTCAAAGAACTACCAATTACTAGAAGCCATTCTGTTTCAGGTAATTGAATTAATGGTGAAGGGACACACCCATTAAGAACAGCTAGGTGTGCAGTATCCTTCAAATGACTGAAGATTGATAGTGATATAGTTTCAAATAAATAAATAAAATTTCCAAGCCCAAGGAAATTGTTCCCACAGCATTCATAAATCATGGTATGGGAGCAAGTTCACTGTTCTTGGTGCCCTTTTGGTAGAGCTATAACACTGTAGATCTCCTGTCTTCAGTAACTTATTTTGATTTTGCTTTACCTACACATTATTTGTTTCCAAAAATATGAACTTTTAAAAGTGTACCAAAGGATGTTTGATTAGGTGACTATCTTGGGCAATTCTGGCTATGTCAGAATACAACCAAGCAGGTTTATTCAGGTTCACAGTGGACGCATCTACATGAGACATGTACTCTGAAGTCGACAAATTAGCTCTGCAGCAAGCATCGTGCATCCACACATAAGCTCCTATTAGGCTGAAGTAAACCAATTAACTCTGCAGCAGGATGTAAAATGTAAATACAAGTACTGTCCTGCCATGGGGTTTTTTTACTCTCCTACACCACACATGTAGATGTTTCCCCAGCTGGCTGGGTCATGGGGGTGCTTCAGCATGGGGATTGCCTGCCAGCTAACCCTGAACTGGAGCACCCTCATACTCTCACTAGCCCCTCCACAGGTTGTTAAGCTGGGGGAGAAGCAGCCCCAGGCTGGCAGGTTGACCGCCAGGATCTCCTGCCAGCCAGGGCTGCTCTGACCCGGTTCAACATGCTGCGGTCCTGGGTGCATGTTCAAACAGTGCACCCGAGAGCAATAAACTCTGGAGCAATAAGCTCCAGAGTTTGTTCCTTCACATTAATTGCATGTGTAAATGCACCCTTTGGTAAGGCTGTGCCAAGCTCTCGTCTCCGATTCAATTAGACAGAGATTCACCCTGATTCGGTGGCCAAATCCCCAAATCCAAATCGAATCAGAGGACTCTTTAATCTCTCCGAATCAAATCGGAACCCTCCAAATCGATTTGGAGAGATTCAGAAATTCAGACAGAGACAGCTTTAAACATTTTTTCTACATACCTCTAGGTAGCAGGGGCTCATGAATGCTGCAATGGTGGAGTACATGGAGTGTCCCATAGGAGCACAGGGGGAATCCCCTGTGCACTCAGCAGCAAACCCAGAAGTGGGCAAGAAGCACTTCTGGTCCACTTTCAGGTCCACTGGGGAGCATGCTGGGGGGCCCCCCATGCTCCCCCAGCTCAGTGACTGGTGTCTCCTTGGTTTGCGGGAGCACCCAGGGTCCCCCTGCAGTGAATCACTGAGCTGGGGAGGCACGGGGGGGGCCCCCAGTGCACTCCCCAGCAGACCTAGAAGTGGGCCTGAAGTACTTCCAGTCCAATTCTGGGTTCGCTGCTGAGCATGGAGGCCCCCCCACACACACACACTCCTGTGGGATGCTCCATGTGCCCCAGCATTGCAGCAATCACAAGCCACGCTTGCTAACTCAAGGCATGTAGAAAAAACTTTTAAAGCTGTGTCTATGTGTGAATCACTGATTCTCCGAATCAGCCTCGAATCTTCAGATTCATATTTGGCCAAATGGAATCAGGGACAGTGAACTGAATCACTGTCCCTTATTTGGGCTGAATCCGAATCCAAATAGAATAGGGTCCGCTTCGCACACTCTTACCCTTTGGCCACTCAGTGAGTTCTTAATGAAGTACTCTATAATTCAGAGGTGTCTTCAGGAAGTTAGGTATATTGTCATTATAAAATCTACAGGGTTACTACCTCACTTACCTAACAACTGGAAGCATCAGGCAGCTTTAACTGGAGATGAGTGTTCTCTCTGTGATCCCTAGGGCCATTTGTAGATGAGCTCACCATTTTCTAAACCATGTTAGCTGATTCGCATCACACAGTTCGAAGCAAATTTCAATTTGGATTAAGGGTTAACAGACAGTCATTGACCATCAGGGAGGTTTTCATGCATTTCTGCACTTCTGCAATAGAGACAGCAGGGGGCACCGGGCACTGCCCACCACTCTCAGTCAGGGCCGCAAAACTGGGCTCTCTTGCTACACCCATTTGTGGGCATGAGCAACTGTAAGTCCTACATACCTGCTGTATATACATGTGAATTAATACAGTTTAAATTGCTTGGTTAAGACTGCCCTAGTCTGCATTAATTTTAATGCACGTTCAATGAGAACTTGTTGATTTGGACTGGAGCCAATTTTACTTTAGACTACAGATATCTGTGTATATAGTGATGGCTGTAGTCTGGATGAAACCTAGAAAAACGTAATGTTAATAAATGGCCTAGTATGCTGGTTAACAAGGTACAGCAAGGAAAAAGACTGCTTTGAATGACAAATGTTCTCAACTAATTACACTGATCTGAGACCCTGATATGCTCAGTTGAGAACACCAGAGTCCGCATGGGACAGATCAAAATGGAAAGGTTAAATCATAATTTGCAATGAAAACTGGAAAGCAAATGAATATAAGTAACTGTATAAAATATCCCCAATTTTTGCTGTTGATACCAGTAGTTTTGAAGTGAAATTCCCAGCTGTTGTTCTTATTGATTCAGCAAATGTAATATACAAAAAATAGCCAGTGATCTTTTTGGCATTATCACGTGATATGTGATCTGATAGCATTGCTGTGTTGTGCTTTATACCAAAACTTCACTGGAAAATTACCCAGGCAAGAAATAACTGTAGTGGTCCCCGGTGACATTCTCTTCTCTCCATATCATACTTATATCGTCAACCAATGTGCTCTCTCTCACTCATTACATCATCAGTTCCCTTCACTATGTAAGAATTGTCCCAAACATCTAAACTTAATCAAACCTTCTTTACTTTAAAGTAAAATGACTAATCATATTTAATCTTGAGCATTGTGGTAAAGTATTAGTCTCACTGTAACTTTAAATTTGCATCTTGTATGACCTTGCCAGAACCCTCATATGTGGCTTTGAGAACACCCCAGAGGAAAAGACAGGGCACTTAACACTTATGACAGCATTTCAGCAGGTGTTTCACTTATTAGGATTCCAGCAACATTGCCTACTGTTGAGTGATACCATCAGTGCCATCACCATACCCTGTGTTCCCAATCTAGTAAGCTAAAGAGATGCCTGGATGGTAAATAAATACAGGGCAAATGTTGTGGTGATGAAAGAGAAGAAAATTCTGATACCACTGAGAAGCCCCAGAAACATTTGAAAAATTTGGCTCTGTGCTCACTGAAGAGAGTGTTTGTTCTCTATTTCCAGACTTCGACACGAATGGGCCCAGAGGCTGGAAGGACGAATAAAAATGCTACAGAACACTGGAGGAGAGCAGAAAGAACGGATGGGCCTGCTATCATTTGAAACTTTTCACCCCGCTCATAAAACTGCTGCCTAAAGTTACTGTAGAAAGTATTTGGGCCTGATCCTGATCTTATATGCACAGCTCTAAACAGAAACACAACCACTGTCCTGGCTTGACATTTCCAAGAGATTTGGATAAGCTCTGTTGCTTCTCCAGAGTTCAGCTTGCTTTAGGTCATAGTAATAGGATCTATTGTTTTTCAATAATTATTACAATTCAACTAAAAGATAGTAGTGCACGATCTGTTAAGAATTATGCTATGACAGGCAAGAACCAAGCTCTACTTGTTCTGCAGGATATATTATCATTATGAGGATGTAGGACTTATAGGTAACTCTTTGCATTTTCAAGTGGCAACAATATATTTCTAGGTAAGAGGATCACTTTTAATGGGTATAAGGCACTCAAATGGCTGCGGGTAAAGTTGCACATTTCCATTTATAAAGCGCATACTGTGCTTGACTTCATGTGAATACAACTTATCCTAGCTGCCTTGGGGAGATGCCAGTGAAGTGAATTAAGAATGTCTATGATTAGCAAGTTACAAGTCAGAAAAAAAAAACAGAAGCAGGAAATAAAGAGTGAGCAGTTAGTAACATTTTGGGGTTTTTTCTCTCTTTAAAAAAAGTTTTAAATAGAATAAATGAAACCCTTGTGGGTAAGATGAGATCAAGACTCCTGAGGTAATTACGAATTAATGTGAGGAAGGTCTGAGGTGGTAAGTAAGGAAATTCTATTTATCACAATATTCCTGGAAGGCTCTCTAATATGTCACTTGCCAGTCTGTGATAAACTTGTTGTATTTCCTTTTGTTGCAGGCTAAGCGAAATGTAGCAGAAAATGGTTAAATGCTGATTAATGATGTATAACAGGATCGCTACACTTCCCATTCTTGGATTATCTTATGTGTATAAAAATATGCCTGCAATTTCAGTTCATTATAATCAACAGCAACGTGCTAGAAAAATTAGCCCTGTACAAGCAGCTATATTTCTTAGCATTCTTAGCCCATTCCTCCCCTGCCTTGTTTTTTTGTCTAGTGTCCGTACAAGAAGATGTAAACGCTGCCAAATCAGCCTGCTGATGACCAGAGCTAGTCGAAACTCAAATTTCTCTTCCACAGGAGATTCTCACATTTTTAAAGCATTTTCATTCTTACTCCAGACAAAACCACAACAAAAAGATGGTTTCACAAAATGAAATATGTGATTTTGCTTTGTTTCATTCCAGTCAAAACATTCTACCATCCTTACTCAAACATAAAATGAGATATTTTCTTCTAATCAGCATGGTAAAAAAAAAGTGTGTGCACATACTGAGCAGTGCTGAGCTGTGGGGTCACCATGGCTTGAAACACTGTTGACTCTGCTGGGGCCCAGCCCAGCGAGCTATATGGTAAATCATGAGCTTTTTGGCTTCGGACTAATATTGTGCGTAGTTTATATTATATATAAGTACATACAAAAGTGTTGCTTAAAATGTGTGTTTATGGAATACCAGGGTTAAAACTTGGTAAGTTTTAACCAAGGTAACATGCATCAATTCAGGATGAACTGAATTAGCACAAGCATATTTATTTCAAAGTCATTGTTTTCCAGTTTGCCCCTCACTTCCACATGCTGAGGGACAGTGGGATCTGACAGTAAGAGGGGGCAGAGGTAGAAAGGGGTCACCTGACTCCCCCAGACTTATTTTTCCTGCTATAGCAGTGGGAGGGGGACAAATTCAAGGCAAACCTATACTAATTAGATTCTATACGTGGAAAATAATAAGTTTATACATTTTCCGTATATAGAATACAATTATTGGGGGTCATCTGTTTGAGTAAAAATGGTATTTCATGGTATTTATGTTTGAGTAAATGGTATTTATGTTTGAGTAAAAATGGTATTTCATTAAAACTTAGAAATTTTATACTGATGTAAACCTTTTTGTATTAGGTTATAAACATTTCAAAGCAAACAAACCAAACTGCTCTAATTTATTTCCAAACCAAAAAAATCTAGGATGTAGCCATATCGGTCTAGAAGAAAAAGCAAATCAGGATTTGTGATAAAGGTGATATCTTTTATTAGACCAACTAGATCTTTGCAAAAAAAATGCTTTAATTGCAAGCTTTTGGGCACAAAAACCCTTCATTAGGCATCAGAGGAAAGATTGTAAAAGTTCTCCTGGGTACGTGAACCTGGACACCATGAACTCCTGGGTAATATGAAATTTCATTTCTACCCAGGAGAACTTTAACAATCTTTCCTCCAATGACTGATGAAGGGTGTTTGTGCCTAAAAGCCTACAATTAAAGAAATGTTTTTGCAAAAATCTAATTGGTCTAATAAAAGGTATCACCTCTACCATGAGTCCTGGTTGCTCAAACCAAAAAATAACATTTTTTGTGGGAAAATTTAATCAGAAAATCTGACTAGTTATAATGACTTGAACCTTGTTTTCCACACCAGTAATTGTCCACAGAGTAAACAGCACCACAGATTCAGGCTCATACCCCCACCACTTTATTTATTTGTTTGCTTTTAATATATAGGCAAAATATACATATATTTGTTACAGCTGAATGCTTTTCAGTGAAACAACAGATTTAAAAATCTTCACTGTGCTGAATTGTAATAAACACGTATGTACTTTTACCTTTGGAATATCAATCTCCTTGTGTGCAAATTTATTACCTGAATGAATGATTAGGAGTGTAGATGCATGTTTCATTTAAAACAAATTAACACACTGTACGGGTTCTTTCAACTTGAGCAGCAGTGACTACAAGATGGTTGAGTTCAGGATCCTGAGAAAAGGAAAGAAGGAGAGTAGCAGAGTAAGGACCCTGGACTTCAGGAAAGCAGACTTCAACTCACTCAGGGAACTCAGCGGCAGGATCCACTGGGAAGCTAGGCTGAGGGGGAGAGGAGTCCAGGAGAGCTGGCTGTAGTTTAAAGCCTTTACTAAGAGTGCAGATACAAACCATCCCAGTGTACAGGAAGACTAGCAAGTATACCAGAAGACCAGCTTGGCTTTTAGAAGTGGAAAATGAAACAGACAACTAGGGAGGAGTGTAAGAGTATTGCTTAGGCCTGCAGGGATGAAGTCAGGAAAGCCAAAGCAAAATGGGAGTTGCAGCTAGCAAGGGATGTGAAGAGTAACAAGAAGGGTTTCTTCAAGCATGTCAGTAACAAGAGGAAGATCAGGGAAAATGCAGGTCTCTTACTGAATGGGGGAGGCAACCTACTGACAGAGGATGGAAAAAAGGCTGAAGTCCTCAATGCCTTTTTCACCTTGGTCTTCACAGGCAAGGTCAGGTCCCAGACTACTGCACCTGGCAGCACAGTTTGGGGAGAAGGTGAGCAGCCAACAGTGACAAAAGAACAGGTCAGGGACTATTTAGACAAGCTGGACATCTACAAGTTCATGGGGCTAGATGGGATGAACCCAAGCGTGCTGAGGAAGTTGGCTGATGAGACTCCAGAGCCACTGGCCATCATGTTTGAAAACTCATGGCAATCAGGAGAGGTCCCAGATGATTGGAAACGGGCAAATATAGTGCCCATCTTTAAGACAAGAAAAAAGGAGGATCCAGGGAACTACAGACCAATCAGCCTCACCTCAGTGGCTGGAAAAATCATGGAGTAGATCCTCAAGGAATGCATTTCTAAGCACTTGGAGGAGAAGGCGATTAGGAACAGTCATCTTGGATTCACCAAGGGCAAGCCATGCCTGACCAACCTGACTGCTTTCTATGATGAGATGACTGGCACTGCGGATGCAGGGAGACCAATGCATGTGGTGTAACTTGATTTTAGCAAGGCTTTTGATACAGTCTCTGATAACTTTCTCACAGGCAAGCGAAGAAAGTATTGGTTGGACAAATGGACTGCAAGGTCAATAGAAGACTGGCTGGGTCATCAGGCTCAGAGTGTAGTAGTCAATGGCTTGATGTCTAGTTGGCAGTTGGTATCAAGTGGAGTGCCCCAGGGGTCAGTCCTGGGCCAGTTTTGTTCAATACCTTCATCAACGACCTGGAGAGTGCACCCTCAGCAAGTCTGCGGATGACACCAAGCTGAGGGGAGTAGTAGTAGATGGAGGGTAGGGTTATGATTCAGAGAGACCTAGACAAATTGGAGGATTGAAATATGAGGTTCAATAATGACAAGTGCAAAGTCCTGCACTTAGGACAGAAGAATCCCATGCACCACCACAACCTGTGGACTAACTGACTAGGTAGCAGCACTGCAGAAAAGGACCTGGGGGTTACACTGGACAGTAAGCTGAATGAGCCAGTGTGCCCTTGTTGCCAAGAAGGCTAATGGCATACTGGGCTGCATTGGTAGGATTATTGCCAGCAGATCTTTGCCCCCCGCTACATAACGGTTATAGACAAATTAGAGAGTCTAGGAGAGGGCAACAAAAATGGTTAGGGGGATGGGGCACATGACTTCTGAGGAGAGGTTGAGGAACTGAGCTTATTTAGTATAGAGAAGAGAAGACTGGGGGGAGGTGTTTAATAGCATCCTTCAACTACCTAAAGGGTGGATCCAAAGAGGATGCAATTAGACTGTTCTCAGCAGTGGCAGATGACAGAACAAGAAGCAATTGTCTCAAGTTGCAGTAAGAGAAGTTTAGGTTGGATATTAGGAAACTCTCACTAGGAGGATAGTAAAACACTGGAACAAGTTACCCAGAGAGGTTACAGAATTTCCTTTCTTGGAAGTTTTTAAGACCTGGCTAGACAAAGCCTTGGCTGGGATAATATAGTTGGGAATGGTTCTGCTTTGAGCAAGGGGTTGGACTAGATAAACTCCTGAGGTCCCTTCCAGCCCTAATTTTCTACCATTCTATGACTATACCACCCTCATGCCCATAACATCCAACAGGCATATCTTTAGCTGCAAATTAAACAGCATTTGAACCACTGGTCACCTGCATACAAAGCACACTTTCCACTGCTCCACTAAACTAATTAAAAACTCTATGAAGGTGTAACAGGATTTCACTCCAGGGGTGGCCATGATGCCCTGGGAACCTCCTCAGCCCTTGCCAATCTGTCTGTCTTTGGGCAGTCACCCCTTCATTCCTTTGCCCTGCTCTTGACTTCTGGGCTCCACTGCCCTATTCCCAGGCTTCTGGCCCTCTCTGGCCTGTTTCCAGGCTTCCCTTGTTCCTGAGCCTTGCTCCCAAGGCTTCTAGCCCTACTCCCTGGCCTATTGGGACCTTCAGGTTTGCTTGTCCCAGCTCAGATGCTAAGCAGAAGCCTGCTGTAGCCCTGTTGTCCAGGAGCTCCTCTCCCTGAAGTTCTCAGGTCTAGACTCCCTCTGGACCCCAGGCCCTTTATTCCTCTGGCCCCTCTCTCTCTCTGGGACAGCTGGGACCTCCTTACCTCTGCTTAGTGCCTTCCACAAACCACCAGTTAAAACTATAACCCCAGTAGTAAACCCCCTGACAGGCACCACTAAACTCTCTCTGGGTCAAATCTAAATAATGGCTACCTGCCTGAATAACAAGTACTCTCTTTACCCCAAGTAATATTCCCCTGTTTCCAGGCCTGTAGAGTTGCCTACC